AAAAATGCGTGGATTGAACTGCCGAATGCTTGAAGACAATTACTCAGCGCTTAAATAGAAAGCGGGAATCCAGCAAGAATCCCGAATGAGACGAAATAAATGCTTTCAAAGTCACTTTGTCATCTGCTCCATCTAAAGGATGAAGAAAAGGGAATTTAGGGAACATATCATGATTGTTTAAACATCTTTCCTCTTGCAAATTTACATTCGGATCCTAAAGTGGGGAACGTCTCTGGCTACAGTCGCGAAACTTGAAGAGTTGCAGTCCTTGCAGTCCGCAAAATGGAAGAGACATGGGACACAACATCTCTTCCAGATAGTGAATATTCCTCTTACCGACTTTAGCCTCTATTATCCCATTCTATTATCGAATGAAATAATCGATACCTGCGTGAACCAAACAAAAGGCCCCGCGGCAAAGAGAGACAAGGCTGAGAGACAGCGACAATTGTGACAGGATATTGTCTGAATCGCATTGGAAAAGCGCGCGGAAAACCACGAAAAGTTGCCAAAAATGCCAAAAACGAGATCCAAGCAGCGGCAACGAAATTGATACAAATTTGAAAGTCCTGCGGCAATCGAAGCTCCTTGTCATAGATCTCCTTCATCCCACATTTCTCTGACAATTTTCATTGAACGTCAATGCTGCCACGCCCCTTTTTGTATCCATATCGGCCGTCTGCCTTGTTTGCCCATATCATTTGGTGATTAAATAGCTCTGACTAGGTCGGTAATACCGGAATATATCATGAGGGGGTGGACACACATTTCCCACTTTGGCGGTAACTGCAGCAGGTCTCAATTATTTACCGATGGCCGCAAATGAAATGCGGACTTCCTCCATCCGACGGTTGGTTGTTGGTATTTCCCAATTAATTCGGAAATTGTTTTCGCATTTCGGTACACACCGCACCCTTCTTCTTTCCATTCGAATCCCCATTTGTGTTTTTGGCTTGGTTAAATGTCGTTTCTAATTGGCCATAAATCGCTTTTTGATTGTTTAGAATTTACACTCGGTTTACTCCTGCCATGGAGCTGAATATTCTTGGGAGGGTGGAAACTACAAAGCGAAGAGATAGAGGAGTGGGCACAAGTATTGTCACAGAAATTACACTTGATGAATATATTATCCTTTAGTAATTCAAAATTCATAGATATATCAAAGGTATTACACAAGAATAGGTTCCTATACATACGAGTCTCTTATTTCAAAGTCGACAATGATAAAGCCTGAAGCTTTTACCATTCCATTAACGCATGATATCTACATTTGATTTTTTGCCTAAAATGCTTCATTTATCCAAAGAATATACCCTTAAATACCCCCTACACTTCCACCCATAGCCATCCTCATTCCTTGAAGGATTGTTCTCTGCTTCCAGACATTTAACTTTTGTCTGCTTTCCAATTACAAATTCATAGACCCAAAAGTTGATTGTTCTTAAGCTGCCGCAGACAGAGTGCCTTTCCCTTTCCATCACACTCACACCTGTTCCACCTGTCTCCCCGCTGTCCCCCTCCTTTTCCCATGAATAATTCGAGGACTGTGGAATGCCTTGTCCGCTGTCCGCTGACAAATTGTGGGGCTCGTTAAATGTTGGCCCCAAAACTTGCAACGAATTATGTAAATTTGAATGGAACGATCTTTAAGATCCTTGTAGTACTCTGCAGAAATATTTCCTCCCAAAGTTTCTTCTCCTCCTCCTACTCTTTCCTTAATCAGACGTACCAGAGGAGCGGGGAGTCAGAAAGCTGAAGACAGACATTAATTCTATTTGAGTTGTATCCTTGGCTTCCTGTTATCCTTGAGGTCCGCCCACATAAATAATTTTTAATGATGTGAAAATGTTTTGCCAAGCACTTTTCCTATAATTAATGGGAACTTCCCGGGGAGAAACCTCACAGAGGGATGAGGAGGAAGTTAAGGCAGCCAGGCCCAAGAAAAGCCGCAAAACAAATTAAATGGGAAGGTGAAGGCCGACATGTGTTTGCAACTCTAGCCGGAAGTGGAAGGAAAAACATGCCACTGGAATCCACAGGCATTTCGCAGAATCTGCTCTCGTTTCTCTTACGCTGCCTCCCTCTCTCCTGCCAGGGCCATGTCGTTCGATTCCTTGACGCCAATTCAATCAGAGTCCGATTCGGTATTTCCTGACTTCTCAGCACCTTCCCTATCATCGTCTGCTTTCCACTTCTTAAATTTTCTTTGACATTTTCCCATTTGCTATCGCCGTGCAATTTATATTTAGAAATAATTTCCGTTGCACTTTGCGCCCATCGCCATCGCCCTCTCTCTTCCACCAGCTTCTGCACCACCGAGAAGGAAAGCAACTCAAAAGTGGAAGGACAGGAGAGAGAAATCTGAGAAAAGAATAAGCTCTCCTAAGAGTGATGTGCATTCATTTGTACCCAGGAGACCTCTGGAGAAAACAGTGAAAAGTTTTCTTTATTCGCGAGCAGAATTTAATGCAATTGAAAAGGGAATTCCAACTGGACAAAGTTCTCAAAGGGAAGGAAATAAGGTGTGCAAAGGGATCGTCCTTCCTTGAACCTTGAACTTGATGGAAACCACGCACTAAATCCTTCCCTGAACTGTGATAATTCCTCAGTAAAATGCCAAAGAGGATTCCAAGTTGGAGTCCCTCAAAATCCACATCTCCATCCCCATCCGCATCCTCGTGGGACATCCCCCAAAGAGGCAAACACCGCAATGCAGTTCGTGTCCGAGTTCTGTTATATGGCAGATGAGAGGGATGCCAAGAGGAGGAGAGGCAGGAGAAGGTGGTGCAGTAGATACAGGTGGAGCAAGTGGTGGCACCTGCACATAGGTAAATTTGTCCAGCAGCGAGCTAAATTCCAAACGGAAGTGACACTCTAATTGAGAGCAACGAGCCAACTGGGAGATGTTCCTGGCAGAGAGGGAAAGAGAGGTGAAGCAGCAGCTGATGGTGTGGTGTAGAGACGGGGATGGGATGTGGTTGAGGATGAGGATGGAAGAGGAGGAGATGTCCACTTCATGCGGGTTCTGGGAGCAGCACTAAAAAAGTAAACTCGTTAATTGCTAAGTGCAAAACCATAAAACGGATGTGAAACAGGGGAAGAGATCCGAGGAGAAAGTGGGCACCAGGATGGGGATTGGTTTGTTGGTTCCTCAAACAGTTGGCAGAGGGTTGGAGAGTGGGAAAGGAACTATAATGCGGGTCTGCAGTCGGACGCTGTCGAGTGCCACAAATTGACTAAAATTTAATTAAGGAATATGCATTCCAGAAATGATTGAAGCAGTGAAATTGCTGCACAGAAATTTTATCAATCCTATCCAATCAGAGTGAGAGATCCAATCCATATCACTTACATCGATTGTATCATATTTTATATCGGTGGATATTGGCAAAAAAGGCCAACTCATTTCACATTCAACTGATTTGCATAGCCAGAAGTCTCAGCGAATATTCGTGGAGATGTCTTCCAAACGGATTCCCACAGAGATTCAGTGTCAGCCACACCTTCGAAGCATTCTTCTTCGACAAGTCTGTGCTCGCATTTTCTTTCGCCTGTCATAGACTGTTGGGGAACATTTTCCACAGAGCCCAGAACAAGACGGCAAATGCGTTGCGTATTTATGAATAATTCAGCAAAAGGACATCCCACCCTTCCATCCTTCCTCCTGACTTTCCTATTTGTTTACCACAAATTGTCAAAATGTTGCCGGAATGACATTGGCAGCACGTGTAAGCCCACATCCTTCCTTCTCCTCCCATTTGCCTTCCACACCTGAAAGTTTATCCGAAATTGTCCATTGGAATTTATTCATGTGGATGCTGCAGGAGAGAAGAGCAGCATGTGAAGCATCATCATGCAAATCACTCACTCGGATCCACCTTTTCTCTTCTCCATCACCCTTAAAGCTGTCGGTTGGTCAGTTCTCCGCTAGAATCCCTTAGCTGGAAAACTTCCCCCAGTGACAGCTGGAAAAATTACTTCAATTTCATAATTATCGCGGGTGGCCATGTCTTCTCCCTTCGTCTCACTTCTGACATTTTTATTAAATTTCTGCCCCTGTCGAGCTCACCGCTCAGCGGGAAAGCAACTCATGTCCGATGCGAGGCGACTTTAATTAAAGAAAAATCAAAGGGAGCTTGCGCTTTGTAATATATCAAGATTTCTTTCTTTACCGATATAACTTTTTGGGCGTGACAAATGTGGGTGGTCTGAGGGAGGATGGGAATTGATTAATGACTGGAGAAAGAGATGCGAAAGGTTGACCACTTATTGGGAGAAGGCATACTGGACAGGGTCGCATTTAATCTTTGAGTTCTGTCCACTTAGCAATCCCAACACTTAGTGGTACAATTCCTCCACCTCCTTCCTCTTCAGTAATACCCGTACTCACATATTACATAACATTTTTCTGGGAAGTGATTCTCCCTTCTTCCTGCGGCACATTGCCAGATGAAATTTTTGTTAGCCTCCGTTTTATGATTTGTCTTTCGAAAGTTTACGACTGCGTCTCCGGCGTATTTAAAATTTATGTCGGAATATAAACCAAAATCTGCTCTCAGCCTTCCTTCCGACGGACGCTCCTTCCCATTATTACCGATAAAAGTCGGAGCTGAGGGGGAAAGAGTGCCTTTCCGTTGCCAAATCATCTCGATTGTTCATCTTTTGCTGCATTTTTAAAGGTTTAATCAGTGGCTGAGAGCAAACAATGTGGAAACGTTGTCCATTGGCAAGAAGAATAAACAAAACTGGAGCAAGAAAACAATTAAGGAAACAGAACCACAAAAACAAAGTCAAAGGAAAACCACCAGGATGAGAGAGCAGAAAGGGATACAAATTAATTAACAATCGAGGCTTTGAGAATGCAACGAAAATGGATGAAATAGAGATTGCAGATCTCTTTCTTCTCCGTTATTCTTCTTCGTTATTCGCCGCTTTTAGTGCGCTTCAACAGCGCCAATAAGCATTCATTCATTCAAAGCATAAAGAACACGATGTAGAAATGTTTGAACAGTATGAATTTAATAACAATTTGTAAATAAGTTTTTCAAGAGATGTTTAGGTGTAATTTTCGCCGACACAGTCCACACATCGCCGTCATTTAGTACCAGAAACGCATCGTAAAGTCATATTGTGGAGACGAGATAAGTCGACGCCGAATCTGACGCTCAATCTGACGCCCAATCTGTTCGCCAATCTCACGCAACTGGCTTTGAGAATATCGATATCTCTGTCCGTGGGTCCCTTCTGGGCCCTGCTGCTCATCCGAATCGGAATCTATGGTCGCACTGGATCCATCTGTCTCAGCTCCATCTTGTGTTGCGGCTGATGCTACTTCTCCACCGGCCGCTGCAAGTTATATAAGATTACGAAATGGAGACACGCACATCGATTTACACATACCTTGTGGTGGATTGCAATGTGCATCTTGTTGGGTGGATCCAGACATGTTTCCTTCGGGTTGAGAGTTCATATTTACTTCGACTTTTAATGTAGTTTTGTAATTTGACTTTGCGAACAAAATCAGGGCCTCTTGATTGTTTGAAAAGTCCGATCGACAGTATATGTCTATCGGAAAAAAATATAAGGCGTGTCATCAAAAAATCGAAATTAGTTCGGTGGATCAGATGTTTCTTATGAAGATTCAACTACCATGAGAGGCAAATGGCTATCCAAATGGATGCCAGCTATCAGGCGAAGAGCAAAGGAAGCCGGCAGCCAACGAGCCTGACCTGGAATATACCGCTTGCTCTCCTCTCCCATACCTCCCAACACCTCACCTATTATAATAATTGTGACTACAGTTACAGCACAGGCTCGAACAGTTTCCATCACAGCGCTCTCCCAATCGGAACCACCCAACCAGGTCAAGTGAAATGTGCTCCACAAACTTTTCTTTCCTTCCCTCTTTCCTTCTTTTCCTTATCCACACACATGCATCAAAGGAGGAACATACAATGAGTGCTCCGCCTGCACAAGAGAAAGTGGAAACTGTGACCCGATTCCTCGGCCTCTCCTACTTGGACACGTTCCAATGCAGTGGCGTTGGTTGCTTGTATCTGGACATTAGGGATTTATGCCACGCCTCCACTCAGAAATGTATGCAGAAACTCCCAACTTTGCAATGAAATTTTTGACAAATGCTTCCAATTAAGTGGAGCTCGTTGGACGGACGGGGAGCCGAGTGGGAGTGGCAGATTTCCCATGATACCCCCGAAAACACAGAGCGCTCACATGATGTGGCCAGGCATATTGATTCGGATTTGGACTCGGATGTTGGTCTGCCATGGGGATTTGGCCCTAAATGCTTCTCATTTATTTTAACGCCCAGCGAGAGTCGAAAGCCCAAAGCTCAAATGTGATTCGGGGACTGTACGGACTGTGCGGACTGTGGATGGTGTTTTCGAGGAGGCGGACCTGTGCCGCAGGATATATTTCCGACTTGAAGCCGCCGCCTGTGGCGTAAATATCTGATTAGGCTCCTGCCCACGAAGCCTCCTCCTCTTCCTCCTCAGCCATTCTCCTTTTCTAGGCAACCGAACAAAGGGAAGCAGGAAAATGGTGAAAATGAAAATAATCTTGGGCAACATCTGGGGGAGCATGGGGCGGGACAACTCAGGAGTTGACTGCTCCCCTTTCGATTGGGGACAAGGTTAAGCATTCGGCAATAAAATGGCAACTTATTGTTTGGAATTGCCTGGAATTGTGTTGGCCACAGAATACAAAAAAACCATGGTAGAGGTGGAAAGGAAATATCGAGGCTTTGAGGTTTTCAGAAATTGAACTCATGGGAGGACGAAAACTGGAATATGCTTTGATCTGAACAATTAGCTGCCTCATTGATATCTGTGGTTGTCTCTGAACAACATCCTCCATCACTCTCATTGTGCAACTCTCATCCTGTACCTATTTCTGTATATCATATTGTCTCCATCAGCCTGTCTCTCTTTGTCCATCTCACTTGACCTGCTCACTGCCAGAAGTCCTGGCTGGAGTCCTGCCCAGAGTACCATCATCATCATCATGGTCTCACTGTGGTTCCTGTGGTCATCCACCAACTACTTGTCTGCTCCTCCGGCTCATCCTGTGACTGCGGCTGACGCTCCACTTGGCTTGGAAGCCGTAATTGTCCTTGTCCGGCAGTGTCGTGTGTCAGTTATCCGTCTGCTATTTGTTGCTTCTTTGTGTGGTTCTCTAATAACTGATGCAAATAATTTGCTCATTTCTGGCAAGTACTTGGCTTTTGTGTGTGTGTGCGTGTGTGGTCAGGATATTGCAGATAATCACCAAATTAAATAATTTGGTTAAAAAGACCATATGATAAATAGGTGATGTTCCTGCAAAATGGCAAGTGGCTAAAAAGGTTGCTTTAGATATTCATTAGGTCTGTATTTTCCACCCCAAACAATTGCCCTCCTTGCTGGTTAACAATTTAATTCGTTTATTTCCCCTTGGATAATTTGAATCTCATCAATTGCAATCTGTATGAAAAGAGGAAAAGAAGCAGAAATGTTTCCAATCGAATGAACAAAATGTATCCTTTTATACCCAATCAATATATACCATTTTTTTCGATCAAACCCTTCGCCATAAATAACATAATTCATATAAATATACATATACATATATATATGTATACTATGTATTCATTCATATAATTTTCCTCGCCCAAATTCGAACAATTGAAGCTTTGAATGCATCTCGTTATGTTGCCAGTTCTTTCCTATTTTCCGCTTTCCAATTCGATTATCCGTTTTTTTTAGCCGGATGTTTGTCTGTTCGGGGCATATTCTCGGGGCTCTCTATCCTGCCACATTTGCGAAACATTTGAATTTGAATTCATTGAGGTGCAATAAATAAACTTGCCACATAAATCATTTTAGCAGCAACTTAAGCACTCAGAATGGGATTTTTTCGCCAGCTAGCCGTATCTTCAGTCTCTCAGCTTCACACCCAAGAAGAGAGAGACCCGGAATGTAAGTGTTGGATATCATCGAAGCTTGAAACACCCTCTAAATTATTCCGTTGAAATCGTTAGGATATACTGAACGATTTATACGATGACAGCTACTTGTAGTTGGATATGAATGTTGGATATGCATGGTCATTCTTCATCAGACTTTATTGCCGGCCAAAGCGGAAACCTGCACATCCACTCCCTACACATTCTCTACTACTTACCTTATAGAAACACAATTACTACCTGCTGTGCCTTGACAATCTTCCTTATGCCCTGCCAGGCAGAGTATAAACATTTTGGGGCGGCTAAGGACACCTTGGGGAGAGATTGAAGAGAATTGCCGGGACGGGTTAGAGCCCAAGAACTAATTGGCCAAAAACAATAAAGCTCTGCTCCTTTAAAACGGAAAGAAAACCCTCCATATCTTTTCCTGTCTCTCTCTCTCTCTCTCTTTCTCTGCTTTTCTCATTCTTTCCCTGTCGCTCTTAAAGTTTGGCTAAATGTTTGCGAGTCCATTTATAAATCCGTGCAACGTTTGCTCTATGTGCCCAAGGGATTTCCCCCGAACAGGACAGGGCAAATATTGAAACTATAAAGCGTTTGCTTTTTTCTCGCTTCTACACCCACTCATTGCCTTTCACGGCCTCTCTTTCCTTCTGTCCCTCAATCACTCCCTTTCTCTCTCTGTCTCTCTATGTGTGCGCTGGGTAAAGCTGCTTTAATCCTAAAAAAGTTTTTGCTAGAGAGTGGGTTAAAAGTAAGAGCAAACTACCAGGACGAGTACATGGTACATAAGCGGCTTATGCCATTAGTTCGGAATCGCAGTTTGTCCAGCACTGAGTCCAGTGCCGGCCTGACGAGCGATGTCCTTCTCCTGCTCCACCTAGCCGCACATACCCATCTATACCCGTATCTATCGATATATCCGCTGTGTTCCAGCTTCCGCCTGCCTACCTGTTGGAGGTGTAGAGTGTGGGCTCAAAGTTTCACGTAGCCCTGGCATTTGCCAATCCATGCGGCAAACTTTAAAAGACCCTGTTCCAGTGGCGGCCACTAATTGGTGGAAGTTTGACGTGTAAAATCAAAAGTTATGACCCAAAGATACGCTTAAATGGGGGGAAAACCTTGCAAAAGTTTATCATAATTTGTGGGTAGATAAGTTAGCGATGGCAACAAAAAGGTGGTCTATGACGGGTCTAGTGAAGAATATGGGAACTTATGTTAAGCCCAGACTTTGGGAGAGGTGGGATTTGAGCTCTAGATGCTTGCTTGCTCAGGATGCAGCACCTTATGTACTTCAGCTCTTATATTCTTTAATGTTTATAATGATGCAACTTAACATTACTAGAAATAGGTCATACTTAGCGAATACGATATACTCAATTATATTTATTCTATACCTTAAAAACTTCCTCTCAGCATGAAACCGTTTAAAGCCTGCATCTTAAGCACTTCCATCTCCTTTTTGTGGCTCCATAGAAAGTAGAGAATGTCGCCACCAGGTCTGACTTTATTACAGTGCAATCCCCTGACTGGCCCACCGAGACTGCAGCAGTTTGCCAAGACCGTATACCGAGGACCAGGAGAAGAGAATAGCCATTTTTGTCGCATACTCCACGCGGATTTTGACTGCATAAAATATGAAATTAAATTGCAAGCCAACAAAATGGCGCCTGGGAAAATGACAAAAATATGAGACAGAACTGCTGTAGAGACAGTCTCTCTTCCGCACGTGCCCCTCCTGCAGCTCTTGCCGCACTTTGCTGGGAATTCTCTTGGCGCTGCCGACTTGATGACTTGCAGCTGTCGCATTTCTTTCGCGACTTTAGACACTGCTGCAACGCTTGTTGGCACCTGGTTAGCCACCTCGATGATGTTGGGATTTCATTTCACGGCAAATATTGTGGCGCCTCATGGGAAGTTCTCTGTTTGAGGTTGCTTTGCAGTGAAGCGAAGCCGAAACCCAGCTAACTCTGATATTGTCGGCACTTTGTGAGTGCTGTGAATACTTAAATTTTAAGTTATAAAATGTTACGGCTAAATGAGATAACTTTCCGCAAAATTGGGCTTTGTGTGATCCTCTCGTGTCTGGCCCTGTACGCATACGTGTGCAAGGACATGGACACGGGCCCCAAAATTAGCAATGCATTCTTTGTGAACAACGAGGGCTGCAAAATGATTGCCCTGGATGTGACGAGCCCTGAGATAGAAGGATACATAAAAAAGCCACCCGGTGAATACAAGTGCATCGATGCAACATGGTTTGGAACGAAACTCATCAAAGGAAGCTGGTATCTGAAGTTAATTCGCGACATTGATCAGATACTGATTGATCATAAACTAGATAATCAAACCAAAATACAATGCGAGTATGATCGGTTTGACGGAAAGAGTGACTGGCAATTGGAACACTACAGAACGGTTACATTTAATTTGGTACCCCCATATCGCTGGAAGCTGGAACCGTCTATGTACCTGCGTGTGTTTTGCTACAATTCTACGAAATTAATGCATGAAGATGCTCATTTCGTCATCCAGCCACCACCGCAGGAGTTACTCGAACAATCAAGAAGCTTGAAGAAATGGGACCGAGGGAATAAAACGGAACCTGCAGAATCTGCCTCGGATCCTCTCATTTCTGTAATGATTCTGGGATTGGATAGTGTGTCCCATCTGAACTTTCTGCGTCAAATGCCGCGCACAGCCAACTACCTCCGTCATCAAATGTCTCACGTCGAGTTCTGGGGCTACAACAAGGTTGGCTTGAATACCTTTCCGAACCTGATTGCCATGTTGACGGGGAAGAGTGAAGAGGAGAACGAGAAGTATTGGAAGAAGATTCAGCGCATGGACAACTGTCCTGTAATTTGGAAAGACTTTAAAAAGGCCGGCTATAATACCAGCTTTGGTGAGGATTATCCGGAAAACAGTCTGTTTAACTTCTTAAAACCTGGATTTGGCTCAAAACCTACCGATCACTACCTACGTCCAGTCTTGAATTCCATTATGAGGACTTTTAGCGAAGATTCCATTGCTTGGTGCTCAGCGGGCCGCACAATCACTGATATATTGTTGGAAATGGTGGAGAATTTGCTGCCCCATATGCAAAGGCATCCATTCTTTTCGTTATTTTGGTGGGGACAGGGCTTCCATGACCATTTAAATTTCCCTTCGGTGGTCGATCAGCGCTTTGTGCGACTACTGAGGCGTCTCGATGATACTGGAATCACCAACAATACCTTCATATTCTTCATGTCTGATCACGGCTCGAGTTGGGGCTCGTTCCGGAAAACCTTTCAGGGTATGCTGGAGGATAATCAACCCATGCTGTTCACCCTCTATCCCAAGTGGATGAAGGAACGCTATCCGCTGGCCATCAAGAACCTGGAGAGCAATAGTCACAGTCTGATCACAACATATGATATGCACGAGACCATGCGGGACCTTCTCCATCTGGATTCATTGCAGGAGAATCGTCTCAAAGAGAAGTCAAGGCTGCTGTGGAAGCTGCGGGGCCCTGAAACACCGCGTGGCGTCAGCCTCTTTCTGCCAGTGCCTTCGTGGCGCACTTGCAACACCTCCAACATCCCTGTTGCATATTGTCTGTGCCAAGAGCTGACTCCTCTGCCATTGGACGCTCGAGAAGTGCAGCTTGCCGCCCAAACAGCTGTCCTTTCGATGAATCAGCTGCTAGAGACCTATCTAATGTGCGAACAGCTCCAGCTCAAGAACGTGTCTAGCGCCTACTCATCGGCCCCTCATATGACCAAGAAACATGATATGAGAGACATCACTGTGCGCTTCGAAACGATTCCAGGCGATGCTTACTTTGAGGCCACTTTACGGGCGACGCGTGGTGTATTATCCCTGGTTGGAGAAATCGTTCGGATTGACGATAGTAGCAACTTCAACAGCAACTGCATTAGCGAGGTCAAACTGTTTCCTTACTGTTATTGTGGATTGTAAAGTCAGTTTTTTTAGGTTGCATCTTCTAACAACGCATCAATAGAAAAATAAAAGAGGGCACTGCAGTATCATGTAAATTTTTGTTTTTTAAATTACGGAAGCTAAATATAATTGAAAAGCCCATTGCTTGGGCTCTCATAGTATATAGTATAGTATATATAGTATATCACTTGAGAACGGCTGAGCTGATTTTGTCAGGAGAAGGTATTATTATGATCCATCAAAAAAACTATCAATTGAGTTATCGTAAATTACATATTCTGTAATATTTGCAGCTATTAATAGTTTCTGCATTCTATAATATATTTATACAGGGGTGGTCAAAAGTATTTACACAACGAGTTTTTTTTTGCATGTTCAATTTCAGGAGCTTTTCCTGTGGTTGTTGAAAGCTAAATAAAAAAAAAAACTTTTAGGCCAAAAAGATTGATCTACTAGCAATTGAATGAGAGAAGAATTGGAAAAGATAACTGTTTGTACGAATAAGGAGAAGCAAATTAAGTGATGCTTATCAGTTGTCAAAATTATTTACACACACTTTTAATGCTGCAGAAGTATTTACACAAAACTTTAAGTTAATTTTTTATTATGATTTAATGATTTTTTTTTTAATTTGTTGGATGAATAATAATAATAATGATTAATATTTTGTAATTCCACCTTTGGCATCAATAACTGCTTGCAACCTGGCTGGTACTGATTCCACTAAGTGGCGAGCATATCCAAGTTCCAATTTCGACCAAATTTCCTTTACTTCCTCGATGGTAACGTCGCGTTTTCGGTTTTTATCAATTGTTCTTTGTCCTTTAATAAGCGACCAAACATTTTCTATGATATTGAGATCAGGGCTCTGCGCAGGCCAGGGAAGAACAGCCACATTGAGATCTCGTAAAAATTTTGTAGGTGCCGATCCCTTGTGGCATGGAGCATTGTCTTGCTGTAAAATCCAGTCGGAGATGGGAAATAGCCTGTCACCAGACACAAAAGCATGTTCATTCAGTATAACAAGATACCGGGTCTGATTCAGAGTGCCTTCTATTGGAACAAAGTCTCCAAATCCGTAGTAAGACATGCACCCCCAGAACATCACTGTGCCTCCACCAAATCTGTTTAATGGTTGCACTGCACTTTGTTTTTTTGCTTGTCGTAGATGCATAAATCTTTTACAGAATGAGCCTTGGAACTGGAAAGCTACTTCATCTGTCCATAAAACATTGTACCAAAACTCCTTTGGTTTTTTAACGTATTCCAATGCGAATGAGAGGCGTTTTGCTTTATTTGCCTCGGAAATTTCTATTATTTTTCGCACTGTATACGTTCGTATGTCGATCTCCTTCAATCTCCGACGTATTGTAGCATCACAGACTTTTTTGCCAATCAATTGTTGCGAATCTGCAGACAATTTAACTGGGCTTATCGACGGATTTTTATCGACTATGCCAATTAAACGTCTACATTCCCGTTCATCCATCGCTTGTTTCCTTCCACTTCTTTTTAAATTCTGTAAATTTCCATTCGTGTCCTTTTTCTTTTCCAGATTATAAACGGTTTTTCTACAAATTTTGTATGTGTTGCCAGTTCCGACGCTGAAACCCCGCTTTTAAATTTTGTAACGATCTCGGATCGAGTTTCAACAGACAACTCCTTTGTCTTCACCATTTTACTAAGTTAATTTTAAATTTTAAATTAAATTTACTTATTGCAACTGCAATAAACGAAAAAACGACTGCACTAAGTCAAACCAAGTCTAAGAATAAGCTCTAATTTGCATTGTGTAAATACTTCTGAAGCAATGCAAATTTGTGTAAATACTTTTGACAACAGTTCACATGCTTCTATTTTTAGCCCATTAACAGTTATTTTTCCAATTCTTCTCTCATTCAATTGCTAGTAGATCAATCTTTTTGGCCTAAAAGTTTTTTTTTTTATTTAGCTTTCAACAACCACAGGAAAAGCTCCTGAAATTGAACATGCAAAAAAAAACTCGTTGTGTAAATACTTTTGACCACCCCTGTATATATATATTTGCTAGTCTATAAAGACCACAAAAATTTTAAGTGGATATTCACCAAAATATGCAGCTTCAATTAAATACACTCCATCTGGGTACGAACTTGAGTGAAGCCGAAACTCAGCAAGCTCTGAAATTGTCTGCATTTTGTGAATGCTTAAATTTTAATGTTTTAAAATGTTATGGCTTACTGAGGCACCTTTCCGCATTATTGGGCTTTGTGTGATCCTCTCGGGTCTGGCTCTGTACGCATACGTGTGTAAGGACACGGACATCAGACCCAAAATTGACAATGAATTCTTTGTGAACAACGAGGGCTGCAAAATGATTTCCTTGGATGTTACGAGCCCTGCGATAGAGAAATACATTAAAAAGCCACCTGTGGAATACAAGTGCATCGATGTTACATGGTTTGAAACGAAACTTATCAAAGGAAGCTGGTACCTGATGCTTGTTCGCGACATTAATGAGATACTGATTGACCGTCATCTAGATAAACAAACCAAAATACAATGCAGGTATGATCGATTTGACGGGAAGAACGACACGCGATTGGAGCACCAAGGAACGGATACATTTAATCTGGTACCACCATATCGCTGGAAAGTGCGAGCTACTGTGTACCTGCGTGTGTCGTGCTTCCATTTAAAGAAATTACTGCATGAAGACGTTCATTTCTTCATCCAGCCACCGCCGCAAGAGTTACTCGAACAACCAGTAAGCTTGAAGAAATGGGTTCAAGGGAATAAAACGAAAACGGCAGAATCTACCTCGGAGCCCCTCATTTCTGTCATGATCCTGGGATTGGATAGTGTTTCCCATCTGAACTTTCTGCGTCAAATGCCGCGCACAGCCAAATATCTGCACAACGAGATGTCTTACGTCGAGTTCTGGGGCTACAACAAAGTTGGCTTGAATACATTTCCGAACCTGATTGCCATGTTGACGGGGGAGAGTGCAGAAGAGAATGTGAAGTATTGGAAAAAGACTCAGCGCATGGACAACTGTCCTTTAATTTGGAAAGACTTTAAAAGGGCCGGCTATAATACAAGCTTTGGTGAGGATTATCCTGGTGCAAGTCTTTTTAATTATTTGAAGCCCGGCTTTGGGTCAATCCCAACTGATCACTATCTACGTCCAGCCCAGAAACTTATGAATATAACTACTGGCACATATAAGCTAACAACATGCTCGGGAGGACGTTTACTCACGGATATATTGCTGGAAATGGTGGAAAATCTACTGCCCCATATGCAAAGGTATCCATTCTTCTCGTTTTACTGGTGGTCCCAGGGCATTCATGACCACTTCAACTTTGGTTCTGTGATCGATCAGCGTTTTGTGCGACTACTGAGGCGTCTCGATGATACGGGAATCACCAACCACACCTTCATATTCTTCATGTCTGATCACGGATCGAGGTGGGGACCATTCCGGAGAACCTTTCAGGGTATGCTGGAGGATAATCAACCCATGCTGTTCATCCTCTACCCCAAGTGGATGAAGGAACGCTATCCGCTGGCCATCAGGAACCTGGAGAGCAATAGTCACAGTCTGATCACAACATATGATATGCACGAGACCATGCGGGACCTTCTCCATCTGGATTCATTGCAGGAGAATCGTCTCAAAGAGAAGTCAAGGCTGCTGTGGAAGCTGCCGGGCCCTGAAACACCGCGTGGCGTCAGCCTCTTCCTGCCAGTGCCTTCGTGGCGCACTTGCAACACCTCCAACATCCCTGTTGCATATTGTCTGTGCCAAGGGAAGTGAAGCTGTCCTTTCGATCAATCAGCTGCTAGAGACCTATCTGATGTGTGAACAGCTCCAGCTCAAGAATGTGTCCAGCGCCTACTCATGGTCCTCTCATACGACCCAAGAGCATGATATGAGGGACATTTTTGCTTTTTCGAATGAAAAGTCGTTTTCTTCCTGTTTTGTCTTCTATTTACAGAGTCAAACGTTTTGTTTGTCTTTTGCCCTTTGGTAAGCTAAGTCAGTTTTGGCCTGCGTTCCACGCAGATGGATGGACAAACTTTGGACTGTTTCTCTGAGGTCGCAGACTAAGAGACGAAGCGGATGTAAATCAGAGGCTGCCAGCATATAAAATCAGGGGTTTTGGGGGGCCTCGGGGCCATTTACGAGCGGCTTCATTATTCTCCTCGGCAGCAGAATTTATATCTGGATCAGATCCGATCAATATTGTAGTCAGAATAAACAAATAAAACTTCAGTAGCTATGCAAATCCCTACACGCGCTGACTTATTTCCTTTCTTTCACATACTCTTCGTCGTGCAATGTGTGCGCCCTCTGGTGGAGGTACCATAGAAGGTTATTGTGGAATATAAAAACATCCATAGGCTTATATAAATCATAAGATCACATATGTATTAACTGAGTACCGGGTAACAAGTCTTTTCAACATATTTTCGCGGCTGTTATTCTTGGGAATTGGTACATGGCCGCTCGAGAACCGTGTGGATCTTGACAGCAGGCGCTGCCCGCTCTCATAGCGCTATCAGAGAGCGGTAACAGTGCGCTGTTACCGGGAGGCGACACAGGCTGTCAACGTGGTGGTTAACATTGCTGTTACTCTGTTAGAGCTGCCCTGAACAACTGCACATAAACACAAGATATCATTTTATTTCCTGTCATTGCCAGTCAAAAGTGTTGTTTTCACTTTTATATTTGTTCGTCACTTTGTGAAGGAAGAAATTTGAATTAGTTGAAATGATATTCAAAATGTTCTGGCCAGATGAGAAATATTTCCGAAAAATCGGTCTAGCGGTTATCCTGTCGTGCCTGGCTCTGTACATGTACGTATGTACGGACATCGACATCGGACCCAAAATCGAGAATGCATACTTTGTGAACAACGCGGGATGCAAAATTATTGCGATGGATGTGATGAATCCCGAGATAGAGAGCTACATCAAAAGATCTTCGATTAGATATGGATGTAAGCAAAACGCCTGGTTTGCAACGAGAATCTTCAACGGAAGCTGGTACCTGGAGCTGATCCGCAGCATAGATGAGATACTGATTGATCACAATCTAGACAGTGAGAGGGATATTAAATGCTTTTATGATCCATATAAAAGTATAAGTGACTGGAACATGACTCGCTACAGAAGAATTAAGTCTCATTTGTTGCCTCCATATCGCTGGAAAGTGCGAGCTTCTGTGTACCTGCGTGTGTCGTGCTTCCATTTAAAGAAATTACTGCATGAAGACGTTCATTTCTTCATCCAGCCACCGCCGCAAGAGTTACTCGAACAACCAGTAAGCATGAAGAAATGGGTTCAAGGGAGTAAAACGGAACCGGCAGAATCTACCTCGGAGCCCCTCATTTCTGTCATGATCCTGGGATTGGATAGTGTTTCTCATCTGAACTTCCTGCGCCAAATGCCGCGCACAGCCAACTTTCTGCGCAACGAGATGTCTCACGTGGAGTTCTGGGGCTACAACAAAGTTGGCTTGAATACCTTTCCGAATCTGATTGCCATGTTGACGGGGGAGAGTGCAGAGGAGAATGAGAAGTATTGGAAGAAGATTCAGCGCATGGACGACTGCCCTGCAATATGGAAAGACTTTAAAAAGGCCGGCTATAATACAAGCTTTGGTGAGGATTATCCTGGTGCAAGTCTGTTTAATTATTTAAAGCCCGGCTTTGGCTCAACTCCCACTGATCAATATTTACGTCCGGCCCAGAAGCTTATGAATAGGAGGGGCGGCACCCGTAGTCAAACAACATGCTCGGGTGGACGCTTACTCACGGATATATTGCTGGAGATGGTGGACAACATGCTACCCCATATGCAAAGGCATCCATTCTTCTCGTTTTACTGGTGGTCCCAGGGCATTCATGAGTACTTCAACTTTGGTTCTGTGATCGATCAGCGTTTTGTGCGACTACTGAGGCGTCTCGCTGATACTGGAATCACCAACAACACCTTCATATTCTTCATGTCTGATCACGGATCGAGATGGGGACCATTCCGGAGAACCTTTCAGGGTATGCTGGAGGATAATCAACCCATGCTGTTCACCCTCTACCCCAAGTGGATGAAGAAACGCTATCCGCTGGCCATCAGGAACCTGGAGAGCAATAGTCACAGTCTGATCACAACATACGATATGCACGAGACCATGCGGGACCTTCTCCATCTGGATTCATTGCAGGAGAATCGTCTTAAACAGAAGTCATGGCTGCTGTGGAATCTGCGCGGCTCTGAAACACCGCGCGGCGTCAGCCTCTTCCTGCCAGTGCCCTCGTGGCGCACTTGCAACACCTCCAACATCCCTGTTGCATATTGTCTGTGTCAGAAGCTCACGCCCCTTCAATTGGACGATCGAACGGCCATGCTGGTGGCCCGCAACGCTCTTCTTTCGATCAATCAGCTGCTGGATCCCTATCCCATGTGTCTTCCGCTGGAGCTCAAGGCCGTGGTCAGCGCCTACTCTTCCGTTCCGCATGTTAGCCACGAACATGACAAGAGGGATTACACCGTCCGCTTTCTAACGATTCCAGGCGGTGCTTACTTTGAGACCACTTCACGGATGACGGATGGGGTATTGTACCAGGCGGGGGAGATCGTTCGTATTATGCATCGTAACAATAACAGCAACTGCATTAGCGATCTTAAATTGGAACCCTACTGCTATTGTGCTGTTTAAAATGTGGTATTTGGCACTTTAACAGAATAAAACAATATGAATGTGTATATCTGTGTCTTTTTGTCCTATGAATGCTAGTGATTCGGATCAATTTGTATTCGAGGTCTCATTATTTCCATTAGATACTATATTAAATGTTGGTTTTCAAATTTCCTTGGAATTGGGAAATTAAATGACATTTAACACAAAACGCAAACATCATTCGGTATTTGATTTATATTTTAGCCCGAAGGCAGACAGAATTTCGAATAAGTCAAACAAACAGACTGCTGTGTGGTAAGCCGTTTTGGCCTACATTGAAAATCAAACATCTGGTCATGGCTTTTGCCCTTTGACAAGTCGATTATGCAATCTCTTCTGTGGATTCAGGCTGTGACATTTGTGTTTTTTAGCCAACGGCGGAAATTCTTATTCATGCAATAATAGATACAGACAGACACTTCGAATCCATAGTCATGAGATACAATTTGTTATTCAGTGGAGCGACCGAACAGGTAAAGCTTCCACAGTCTTTCAGTTTATTAAAATTAAGTGCCAAGAAACTCCGACTTTAATGAGCCACCCTGCGTGTGAGCAATATTTGTCCAAATTATTCTCCGAATTTCTTTCTTGGGGCCAAAAGCAAATTGCTTGCAGTCAATTTGTTTCAAACGCTCGGCTTGGCTCGCCCAATCATGATAATGTTGATGATGATGGATTTATGTCTACCATTTGTTTTAGTATGCTCTTTTTTCGGATCGTATCCTGCTTTTTGCCTTGGCTTCTGTTGGCTTGGGCGATGCCTGTCGTCGGCAGCAAAGTGAAAAGTGAAGAGTGAAATGTGCGCTGCCTGGGAGCATGCCATAAATCAATTTTCACAATTCCCAAAAAAGCGTTGCCTGACTTTGTAAGTCGAGAGTGTTTTTTGCGAGTATTAATTGAAGCAACGCAGTCTGGAGTGTCAGCAGATTTAAGGTTAAAGCCAGCTGAAGAGACAGGACGTTTTGGTGAAGTGAGATAAAAAAGGATAAGGTTGGAGCAATCATCACAATTGCACAATATCCTCTGCAACGTGTGCCACGATTTTGTTTGGCAAAAAGTGAGCAAAAAAAACCCAAAACTAGTGAAATGGAATCCCAACCTCTAAATATAAGCAACAAATTAAGTTGATGACATACCTTCACCATAGACATACATTGACCATAAATCAGTGCCACTTGAGCTCGGTGTTCGGTGCTCGTTGCTCGGTGCTCAGATAGTCATAATTGAAACCAAAGAAACGTAAAAAAGTCACCAACCAGGCATTAATAAGGCTTTAAATGTGGCACAAAAAAAGTACAGCAGCGCCCATACGCAATGGCAAGACCACGAGTCGAGCATGGGCGTCAGGAGAACATAAAAAGCCAAATTAGCAATGTTTCACATCAAAGTGCGCATTAAAATCCGAGACGATAATCACACTCTCCCACACAACTCACACACACAACCACATAGTCGCACAGACACGCATAGGCCAGACGCTGCCTTTTGTGTATGCGTGAGAACATACAAAAAACATAATTAACCGCGACCTAACGACGACGGCCGACCCACAAAAAGCCGTCAGCCCAAGGCCCTAGGCCCCACCAGGACACCCAGGATTGCAACCCCAGCTCGGATTCCCCACTGGCATCGGGTTAATGTGACGAACGCAGCTGTTGTCGTTGCTTTTTCTGTGCAGCCTGCGGAGCCGACATTTTTGCAAATTACACACTTTTGAATATAAAGTACTCGCATAACATATACGTATACACGAGACGACATCCAGTCTGTGGCCCTTTTTAATGGCACAACAACTGAAACGACAGCAGCAGGCCTTGCGACGCCCAGAAAATATCGATATTAATGTCTACATTAAACAAGAGTGTACGAAATATTACTTAAATATATATATGCATGTATGTATGTTTTTCCTTCTTTAAAGATTCAGCGATAGAGATGGGATTGGGCGTACCCTTATGTGCGGTAAGTATATAAGCCCCCTTTCTTAGGGCAAAGTATAGTAGCACACCTCCGAAAAACCCATGGAAATGTTGATTTGGCTATATTTTGGACGCTACTTAATTTACATTGGTGAAAATACCCAATCTGTGAACTCAGTATATCCTCTCGCCGACTAATTATCTCTCATTATGAGCGAATCATTTACAATCGATTGCATTTAAGGCGTTTCAATCGCTGCTTAACCGCAATTCCCTTTTTCCTCCCACACTGCCACTCAATGGTGTTTCCGGTTCAGTTGGGCCACCTCGTAAGCGGAAGGATATTGCGCCTACTGCACAACTGTGGGTGTGGCCGGATAGGTGCCCTTTCATTCGTGTGCTCTTAATGAAGCTCCCTGCATCCGTCTATATACCCCAACCCCTACTCCCACTGGCTTTACATATGAATAAATTATTGATATCCAAATTCAGTTCGATGCCTCAGACCAGAGACCGAGCCCAAATACGAGCCTGACCAATGCCTCGACATGCATTCCCATCCGTCGCAAAAATGCGAATATTGATATAGTTATGATTGCGAATGCGAATGCTCCCGCGTCATTTCCATTCTGCTGGGAAATCCTTAATCCGTGGTCTGTGTGATGAGGAGTGGAGTTGTATTTCTGTCTCCCTCCCACTTTTCCATCCTCTGTGGCGTATTCAATGTGTTTGCAAATCACGGACAAGAGAATATGTTCATGTGGGTAGAAAAAAGAGGATTACATTTGGTCAGATGCATGAATAGGGCCAAATTGGCAAAATACCACGAAACACCATTTATTCGTTTTAATTTTATAATTTATAAAGGCTTCGAAAGTGAATGATAGTAATAGAATCAAGCATCAAGAAGCATCAACGAAAAATCACTGAAAGCAACACCAATACGTCTACATTAAGCAAAGCGTATTGGAAATAACTGCAATATTTGCTACAGACAGTCAAAGCACTCTATGTTCTCGTTTTGACAATGTTGTTGGTACCCTAAGACAATCCCACTTTGAAAGTCCGCATGCGTCCACCACTGTTTTGGTTCCAATAGTTTTAGAAACTAGATAAGTACAAAAGCACCATAGATTGTATAGCCTCAAAAACAGAGGAAACGATACAACAGCAACAGACAGAGTAAGATAAAATACTTCTTGACAATACAAGAGCCCAGAGTAACGACTCACCATTATGACATCAATTAAACCAAAAAATATTTTTTTATTTTTGTGGTTACAATCTCGTTCAAGAATTTATCCGATTTGATTCTAAATATGCACCAATTTGTTGAGCCCCTCACTCAAAAAATACGAGCATGTTTTGGTATGGCTGAGGCCCACAACCCAGGAAGGCCTAAAATGGCATTGGGTCATCTCTTGAGCCCACAAACTGTATGTCCTCCCCCCCCCACTCAGATCTGCTTTTTCCTCGTTTCTGAATTGCAATTAGGAATGATATATGAGTTGAAACTGGTCCAGCTTTCGATTCGTTTCGTTTCGTTTCGTTTCGTTTTGCTTTGTCTTGTTTTGTCCCATTTTGTGTGACATGGATTTATGCCTTCCCAAAAACCATTCGAGTGCTGACTGAGGAGATTGAGTCCAGCCCATTGCAATTTGTAAATCAAATTGTCTTCCAGAGAAAGAAGCAACAAATATTGTCAGTATCGAATGATTGCATGACATTTGGCTTTTTTATGAAGCCTCTTTGCAAGTTGCAACAAAGAAAGCAAGGGGCATCAAATGATGTTGGTAAATTGTAATTTTTCGCAAGAGATATTCGTTTATAAATTTAAGATTTCTGCAATGCTTAGATTAGATTGTGGCTCCATAGCTTCTCTATCGGAGAGCTTCAATGCTTTCTTTTTTCTTGAATATCCTCCACTCCATCAATTATGCCCTTGATTCCCTCTCTCAAAATTCGCATGAATGGCAAATAAGTCTTGAATGCAATCAAATTAAGGGAGCCAAGTGCAGTTTAATCCTTTTACAAACACATTAAAATGTAGCCAGCAGCTGTTATCCCATGGCCATTGTGGCCCTCGGAGGGACACAAAAGAGAAGACACGGATGGAGCTTAAAAGGAAATAGAGAGAGAGAGACAGAGAAATGGAATAAAAAAGAAAGCGCAGCATTTAATGATAATTAAAGCGACCATTAGCAATTGTCTGGCGGCAATAATAACAAAGTGAACATAAAAACCATGAAGAAAAGGTAAGCTTCAATTGCCGAAACTGCAGATACCCTAACAGATGCATTGATCCTACGACAGCAATACGAACAAGTCCATGACCTATGAAGAAAAATTAAAGTTCAGCAGATAAAGAGAGCTAGGGAATCCCATATAGTATCCGTTCTTTGGATTCTAGTGGCTATTTGTGGTCCCATTCATTGTACCCATTTTGAAAGTGCATAACCAGACTACGTAATTAAGGACAGGGGAGTTGGACCAGCTTGATATGCTTGAATTGAAGTGGCTAAGAGTGAGGAGTGGGATTGGGAGGTCTTAAGCGTGACTCGATTTTCAATTACCACAGCACTTGGCTCAATCCAATGAATTGTTAAATTATGTAATGAAGCGTGTACTCTAGATAAATGAAAACTAATTAAATTAACTTTGGCCAGCAGCGCCTGGCAAAGAGCAGTGCAAACTTTTGCTACAAAGAAACGGCATTCCACTGAATCCACTATTTGGCAGAGACGGCAGATGGGAAGGAATTTTATTTGAGCTGTTTGCAAACATTTTAGTTTCAAATTGGAAAACTAATTGTTTGCCACACACATCCTCAAACAATTAAATAGAGGCACAACAAAACCATTTGACTAAGTGTAGAACAGAAACCAGATTCGAGTACAGTTTTCTGGCAATTAGGCACGTTCCATGGCATAAGCTCTTATGGTTAATTGCCTTTCACCTCGCACACAGTGGCATCTCGTGTGGCATCGGGGCGCCCCTTCCCTGTTTCGGTCTGCTCTGCATTTAATGAGTCATTCGATTCGATTTCGAATGGGTCACGTAAAACATTAAAATGAATGAACGAGACGTATAGAGAGGCGGCGGGGGAAGAGGAGGAGGAGGTGGCGGAGGCACAGGCAGCAGCATCGTTTGCACATGACAACCAGATGGTAATAAATTTCTTCTTTGGCCAAAATTATAGAAAGCCATAAATGGCAAAGTCATGGGGCGTGGCCCAGAGAAAAATAGAGAATCTCCCACTTCAGGAGGATGCTTTTGAGATATTCTGTAGTTAATAGTGCAAGAGAGGAAAGAGTTTAGAGGATGATTTAATAAAAAGATTTGTAAGCAAAACATTCCATTTGAAACTATTTTGTAGGCTTCGCAACTGGAAAGGATCAAAAGAAAGATCAATTGTGTACCAAGGGAAATAAAGAGCCTAAAGCTTACACAATTCTTATAAGTTTCCGGTAAATCCGAATGTCCCCAAGTGGTGACACTTTACTTCTTCACTAGAAGATTGAATTCAATGTGAGATCTATCTAACATATATTACGTGAGCGAACCGAGTGCTGCCTCAAATCAACCACTCCACTCCCCTCTTTCATACACACACACTCTTTCATTTCGACTGCCCACGTATTATCCTTTGCCCTGACTCTCTTTCCTTTTGTGGCTGTTGACTTTTGGGCCTTCTTGTCACCTTTTCGCTTGATCAAATTCAACACATCAAATAACACTTTACCCCAACCATAGCACCATGGCAGGAATGTTCTGCTTGGCACTTCTGAACGAGTGTGAGTGTGTGTTGCCTTTGCACATTTGGCTGATTTTGAAGTGTGTGCTTAACAATTTTTTGGACAACTTTTTTAAATTCCTTAAGCACGTAGACTGCTAAACTTTTTAGCAAAGGCAAAAGTAATTTTGATTTTATTAGCTGTGTAGCACCTGATGGCATTTTCTTTTTTCTTTTTGCAGTCACACTTAGTTGTATACCCCTCTCTACAGCATTAAACCTCGACACCTGTGCTCATCTCTCTGTTAGCCTTCGCCTCTTTCAATTCAATTTCAGTCAATTGCGTGTTTGGCACAAAGTTTTTCCCACACGCAGAGACACACACACAAAGAAATACAAGAAAAAGCCAAAGCCTGCGAAATACGGCGACAACTTGACAAAGTCAACAGTTTGATGCGGCGGCCGGGCCGAGAAGTAAAATTGAGGCAACGGCACGGCAGGAAGGGAAAATTGAGCCAACGGCAGGAAGGTACAATTTAAGTGGAAAAAAGGAAAACACGGCAGCAAATTTGTTGTTATCGACATTTGCTGTAGTCGATATTTCGTTGTCAAAGCGAAGGATAAAAAAAATAACTAACTTTTCGGGCAGATGCCAAAGATTCGGTGAAACGTTAAGAGAAACGAGGGTCAAAAATTAATCAGAGCTGAGCCAATGAACTTTGTTCAATCTTAAACATTATTCTCGCTAATTTCCAAAGTATAGAAATAGTTCTTATTTCTCAACGTAACTAAAGAACATTTTATTCAGATAAAAATGGAATCTAAATATAATCAAAATTCGCCAAGTTCCTCCGATAAGTCCACAACAGTCGACCCATCTTCGCCATCTTCGTCAGTCTGATGAGAGTGCAGACCTTCAAAGTCATAATGTTCAATCAAGTAACCGACAACAGCGCATTCGGACTCCATCATCATCTCCCAACGGCGCATGTGGTCGAAAGTGCTGATGCCCATGCTTTTGTATGTCTTTTGAAGAACTGGACCAGCATCGCAACCAGCTATGAGACGAAAAATCTCATCATCCCGGCTCATTATGCACGATGTCAGATCGTATATCTTGCCATTGAAGGCCGTGTATGTTGGCTTATTATTTTTTCCATTAAATGTGGACAGCTGTTGCAAGGTGAGCTTTAAAGGCTCACGGAAAACGTCCGGTTCTTCCTCATCAGCTGGCTTTATCAAAATCTTTGAGAGGCTTTTGCTGACATAGTAACCGATGGCGAAGGAAATCAACATCTTTCCAGTGGTGCTCTTAAAGATCGGGTTGATCACACGGGATGCAGCGTCTGCAGTTTCGGAAGCTTAGTTGAAAATGGAATTATACTATTAATTGATGTTTACTTACTTGCCAAGTGGACCTGTCCCACCTTCTGCATGTTGGAGATCAGGCTCTGTGCCATCGATATGGCTGTGCTGTAAGACATTTCGAAAATATATATTCGTAAAAAAATATTTTTGTTTATTATTAAGGTCGTCTGTCACGTTGAGACTGTTACAGTCGACTAAACAAAACACTCCCAACTGAAGTATAGATCCAGGATTTATGTTTCAAATAATTTACTGATACCCGCATTATATTAAAATTTTAAGTGCATCATAGATCATGCTCAATTAAGATCAGTTAAAAATGATTTACTGCTCTGAGCAGCAAAAAACAAATGTTAATCAAGCCAGAAATTTTTGCCAGCAACTGAGCCACTACCCACATGTACATCCAACAACTGTTAAGCCACCTGCTGCCAAGCTCATTTATTATATAGTCATATACATATACATGTTCATATAGGTTGTAGCTGGGTCTGCGCCATTTGCTATTAACATTAATGCCAAATGCGATCATTAAAATTGGTCTTAAAAAACACTTTCATGTGTTTGTCGTCGGCTGTGTGCCCTGTCAGTTACTGTTTTTATCAAATTGGTTGTACTTGGACTTTAATATGACTTAATAAGCTCATTACAATTTTTCCCCACTCTCTTCGTCTCTCTCTCTTTCTCTCCGTGTATATATGTGTGTGTGTGTGTGTGTACAAAAATGTAATTTCGCGCCACGAGAGTGCTCTGGCATATATGTATGTATACATATACATATGTAAATAGGACTGCAGGGCAAATGGCAGTAAGAAAGACTGAAGCTGATTTGGGTTGGCTATAGTTGGTACCCTCTGTTCGTTATATATCTGAAATTTAAATTGGGCTTGTCGTTGGGTTATTTAATGAATTTACATATGTGTGTATTGTTCCTCAGCAAGAGCTTCAGTTTTCATGCATTCTCGAGAGACAATGGATTGGGCTCGCTTGTGCTGAAAGATATTTAAAGGATAATGTTTACATGAACAGTTCTTCGATATGTTCGTAATATCCCATATTTGTGTCGTCTGCTTGGATTGCCCTTAAAAGTAGGCAATGCTTTTTATTATATATGCTGCGAGGAAATATTTTATTAAATAGTATAGAAAACAGAAAGCCAAGGGGCATTTATGCCCCACTTTAATTATAGATAATTTAAAAAACGCATAAATGCATTAATAAATCCAACATTCATATGAAAAATGTATTGTGTAACCAGCAATACTTAAAGTTTTAATTTGTCCAATAATCCCATCACCCGTTATTGTCTTCAATTATCTTTTCTTCTATTCCAGCATGCCATGGATACCCTTGCCTGGCCTCGACAAGAACCAAGAGAAAACTGAGAAGCGTGGCGCGTTTTCGTTTCCGCCTTATGCTCGCATTAAAATTTGCATAACGTTGATTTTGTTGCGAGCACATTACGCATACGCCGCGTGTGACGCTGGCTCAAATTGCTTTGGGCACTCGGTTTGCGCCTCGCTGCTTCCTTTGCGTTTCCTTTTTTTGTTCTGTGGGCTTGTTTCTGCTTATTTTAATTTATTAAATTAAAACATATTTCACATGCTGTTCAAATATAATTACATTTCCTTCTGCATTCCTCCCTGCCATGACTACTTTTAATTAAAAATAAAAATCATACTTATAAATACAAAAAAAAAAAAAAACGGAAATCTCTTTAAAGTTACGCCGCGTGCTGCATGCCACCGCTACTGCTGCTGCCGCTGATGCTGGTTATTAATAAACTTTTCAATTGCCCACAAACTGCGGGGGCAGCTGTCTCGTATTAACTTTGTCTGTACGCAGCTCCCCTTAACCACTCTCTCCCCCTTCCATCACCCTCTATCCCTACCGCTCTCTCTTTCTGTTGCTCCCACATTCTCTTTGGTCCCGCGCTGTCTCTTGTTTGGCTTATTAGTCCTGCTCTGCTGAAATTTGCTTTGGCAAATGTCGGAAATCCGACTGCCAAAAAGGAGCACAAAAAACCAAACTTTCAACCACAAAGTGCCAAAGCTCATAAGCCCACAAACAGCATAAAAAAGAGGCAGTGGCTATGGTGGGAGGAGGCAGTGCGGATGCTGCTTATTATTCGAGTTAATTAAAGCAAATTTCAAAAGGATTAAATTGCCAGCAGATTTGCTTAGTTTACTTTTGGCTCCAAGCTGTGTTTGGTGTTTGGGCGGAATATCCCCACTAATGGGGCCAGAAAAATGGGGAAAATGAGAAAAATGCTAAAACAGGAATTGACAATTTAAGATGGGTTGAACTTCAGCCTCCAGGAATTTCGTAAAATATATTTTTCCTAGAAATGATTTCTTTCTCTTGAATTTGAAACAATATAAAACAAACTCCCTTTAACTTTTTTCAGTATACCTCTAAAATTGTCTCTGCAATATTTACATAAAAATTTATATTCCCTTTGCCTTTGGTTGTTGTCTCTTTTTTTCAACCATCAACGACTACCGAAAAATCGTCTAAAATGGTCTCAAACATTAACAGTAAAGTCCATTCAATCTCCCCCTTTTGTACCCCAACTATTCCCCACAGTACGCCATGATTTATTCATTGAAAAGAAAGAGCAGTAAAAGAAACAAAAAAACACCACAACTGGAATGGCTCCCACATAGTTTTGGTCCATCTGACGTACCCTCCTTCTTTTTTCGGTGAAGCTGATATATTTTGCAGCACTAACCATAAATAAAAAACTACAGAAAAATAAAAGGATAAAAATAAATATGTAAAATCTACAAAAACACAAACACTATGGGAGGCTACAAACAAACAAATTGAGCAAGAATAACAGTGGCAGAAAAAAATATTTCCATGCGACAATTGCAAAAGTGTCAAGGTGCAGGCGGCGCCAGGCGCAAAAAAATGAAAACCGCTAGGAGAAAAATTCGAGAAAAATAAATAAAAGAACCGAAAAAACTGGGGCAATAAAGTCTGGTGCCAATTTGTTGTGTAACCGCCTCTGCTCCCACACAAAAATCGAAAGTTGGCCAACATTGTGTGCTAAATTTGAGATAGAAAGGAAATATCGCAGGCCTGGGTTATTTTTAATGAATATTTCCTGATGGGGAAATGCATATGTCAGCATTTAGGAGGTTGTAGAGAGGCTCTTGACTTTGATGGGGCGACATTGCCTTTAAGCTCACATCTCTCACAATGAGAAATGACAGGGGAGAGGATTAAAGTTATGGCAGCTTCTTTTTGATAGTGGAACTCTGAGGTTTAAGTCGATTATTCCATTTAACCAAAACTCAAGCTCGTTTATTCCATACCCAATACTTATCTGGCACTCGTATCTGGCAATGCATTAAATCAATATCTCTTGCTCTTTCTGGCAGATTGTGTGTCTGTCTGTCTAACTGCCGAGGAAAACTTTCATCCGGCAGATGGAGGAAAATGTAAGCTGGCTGAATAATTGCGGGTGAAGCGAAGCCCCCAAAAATTAATGAACTCCACGGAAGAGCAGGAGCTGCCATAAATATCATACACAAAGTCGAAGTTTTCTTAGTTCGAATTGATGAGCAACGCAACGCGCTGGCGAAAAGTTTCGGTGTGGCACGTTTTGCATGATGAGGTTTCCGCAATCATTTTCCACCCAAAAACCCACAACCCACGCAGAAAAGTTGCTCATTAAGATGCCGCCGGGAGAAATCGCGTGAAATTCTCATTCCGATGCCAGATTATTAATATCTGTGTAGTATGGATTGTGGAAGTGGAATTTTTGTTAGTGTGCGCAAATATTTGCGCATTTCTCATTAAAGTTTCACATATATCACGCATACGCCGCATTGTGCACAATTAGTTGCAATTTATCCCCCTTTTCGCTGAAACGAGCACTCGGCTTAATGATACTTAATGTGTAAATCATTATAATAAATTACATGCATGAGCGATGATAAAAATAATCCAGCGCCAAGAATAATACAAATAAACCAAGTGAATCCCCATAATGTGTGCGCCGTCATGAAAAACACACACTGAGAGACAGACTGACTGAATGCAAAGAGAGCGCCAAGTCAGAACAGGGCCAAGAGTGGAGTCCTTATGCACGCATTAGACATAAAGGCCATAGACATTAGGGCGCATAATGAAAAGCATTTCTGTTTCAAGAGTGCGTCACTGCCGACACGAGAGGAAGAGGATGATGATGCTGATGGGCTGGTAACCCGGACCAAAGCAACCGCAACATCAAACAGACAGAAAGAGCGACCGGCAAAAGGGAAAAATATATAAAATATACTTGTACTCGTTCTCGTACTCGTACTGTCATCGCAAGAGCGCTCCACAAGTTATGAGAGCTTTCCTTTTGGTCCCTAACCATACTCAAACAAGGTTCACAGCTGTTCTCCACAGCTGTTTCTGGTTGCAATGTTTTGGGTAATTTCTGGCAGAACCTTTTCCGCCTGAACGAAAACTTCCCTTTCGCATTAAAACCCAAAACATTTCTCTCTCTCTCTCACTCTCTCTCTTCGGGATGCTGTGTGCGCATGTTGAGAGAGAATCATTGTCTGAGATGAAACTCCTGTCTCTCCTTCAGATATTTTATAGGAAAGCTCAGGCTCTTTTATCTGAACACTGTCCGCAGCCATGTGCTCATATAGGATTGGTCCAGTAGCGGAGCAACTTTGAAGCGTTACGGTTGGTCGCGAGTCTGAAACCGGAGCCAGAGGCAATCTCTAGCCATCGCAACGCATTCACAGCTCTCTTTCCTTCTGTGAGGCGCGTCGCGGCGGAGTCTAGGACTTCCCCAAAACTGTTTACATTGTTTGGAAACTAATTAAAGTGAGTTTACGGCTGACTTACTGAATCATCATGATTCTGCTAAAGAGTTTTGGCTTAGTTATACTCGTCCTTACGCCAAATTTAATTGGCCAAGTGCGAACAAATTTCGAGAAAATACAAGTGTGTGCATGGAAATTAGTTTTAAAAGTGTTTGACTAAAATTAAATTGAACAAAGTTGTGGAAGGATAGCAACATTTTGTAGTTTAATTGAAAAGAAGCAAGCAACAATATTTTGACTAACTTTTCCCTATGAATAAACCATCAAATAAATATTCAAATCAAATATTCAACAACCACTTCATC